AGCAGGAGAGCGCCGGCTAAACTCTTACGTCAACTAGAAATACACAGGCATGACCCACAATAACCGAGTGTTTCTAACCCTTCCCACTTCTTCAATCACAAGGGGAAATAACATGCCCCCTGTACCAGAAGTGTCCCATGGGCTGGTTCTAAGATGCACAAACGTCAGTCTGGGACCAGGCAGGTGCAGCTGAAGTTAGCTTACAGGATTCGATGAGCCTTGGACAGCGTCCTGGGAGCTACGGATTGTCGGAGGGCAAGTGCAGCCTCTGGGCACAGCAGCTGACGGAGGCCGACCTGGCGCCAGAACCCCACACTCTCGCTTCTGCCACTGCCCACCTCCCCAGGCTCAGTTTCTCTCTCCTCGATGTCTTTCTAGGCTTCTATAACCTTTAACACCGACAAGGGAAGACCTCTTCCGAGGTCCTGTCGGCCCACACAACTTGATCACCATGAATGTCTCCGGTTAAAGTCCACCTTCCAGCAAGCATGGCACTCGCCTCCTCCCACAACCGCAGCTGAGCTACAGAACAGCCACCCTTGAGAACCACCTGAAATGGAGCCCAACAGAAGCCCTACAGCAAAGATATAAAGAAGGAGCCGCACTGAGACTGACGGGAGGGGCGGAGACTCAGAGTGGGCTGGTCTCACGCTCACTCCCCAGCCCTGAACTTCGCTCGGAGCCCAGCGAGTTGGGAACCCATGTTTGATGATGGAGGAGTCAGCTATTATTTTTCAGTAACAGTTGACTGTCAATATTTATTTAATTAGTTCAGGTATACAGAACAGTGGTTAAACATGATTTATGAAGTCCCCCCCCCATACATCTAGTACCCGCCTGGCACCATACGTAGCTATTACAATATTATTGACTAGATTTCCTATGCTACCCTTTACATCCCCGGGACTATTCTGTAACGACCCATTTGTAGAAGTTAGGTATTTTTTGAAAACCTAAATAATTCTTTAGTGCTGCGCTGCCCAACATCTATGAATGCAAGAAGTAAAAACTTTGAGAAGGAGAGGTGCCCCTCCTACACTCTCTGCAAACAGAACACCAGAAGGGGGGGAATCTGGCTGAGAGACTCCAAAAAGAGGCAGCCATCGGGATTTTCTTAGAAGTCTTATTACTCATACATCTGAAATGGCTGTCCAAATACTGAATCTTGCATCATTCCCACACAAAGTGTTGCTGTAGCAGCTGTTCTAATCAGCTATTTCGGGTGTTAAACAATCTTTGATTGCCGGAGATAACTAAATCAAATTATGGCCTTCCAAAGCACTCTTCTCTGCAGCTACCTATTACATTAGTTTGGGGCACCTTGCAACACAAATGTGCTGTTTTCAACAAGATTCAGAAAACAGAAAACGCTCTGCAAAATCCGTACAGTGCGGCTCCCCACCTGGCTGGGGACTCTAGAGAGCATGTGACACGTATGGGGTCATGTGTCCCCTCCTGGGCAGCACCATTAGTGGGGGGGGGAGCATGTCAGGAGAGGGTTGGACACATCGGAGTGTTCCCGTGACAAAGACCAACCCATGTACTGATGATCTTGGAATAATTCAGGCTGGAGCAGACAGAATCCTGAAGATCTCTTGACCTCTCTCTGTTCCCTCAGCCTTGCAGCCAGTGGGAGATGAGGCTCAATGGGCAGAGATGAAGCCAGGGTGGTCCAGGTAGTGGGCTTGGCCTTGGCCCAGATTCTGACATGGAAACAATAATAGTGCCTACTCCGAGGCGGCTCGGTTACATGCCACGCATTACTGCCGAGTGAGATAAACAAAAACCACAGGAAGGTATCGGAAATTACAAAACCCATGGACCCCCTCCTCGAACTTTAACAGCAGGCCTTCCAGCCCCTGTGCCCCCTCCTCCTTAACCCACCTCCCTCTCTCCACTCCCCATCTTCAAGTTGTTTTGTATTCTTCCCATCCGGGTCTTTACGTTTTTACTGACTCAGCGTATGTGTATGAATGTAGATTTAACACTGTATTTTAAAACTTACATTAATGAAAAAGAGTAGATTCTGTTCTACAACCTATTTTTTTCCCCGGTTAACAAGTGTGCAAAATTTACCCAAGCTGATTTATTCATTTTAAATGCGGTGTAATATTTCACAGTACAAATAAACTGTTACTTATCTGTTTTCCCAGTAGAGGACATTTGGGTTTATCTCCAATCATTTCCTCTATAACTGGTCCTTACGCAAGTGCACACCTTTCTTTAGAATGGAATGAGTGAGCCACAGGGTAAATATATTTCCCTATATTTGGTGAAAGCCTAAGTCTTTCTATTCTTTTACTTTTAGACACAGTATAGTGATCTGCAATTGTCAAAAAACAAAACAAAACAACCGGCAGATTTAATTAACCAATTTAAACCCATATGTCCAATACATGGTCCGGTGAACACCAGTCTGCACACCACGCCGCCCAGAGGACCAGGTGGGAGGTTAGGGGAACTGCTGTGTGAGCGCGGCCCTGAGGGGCAGTGCTGGGGTTGCCAGGTGAGGGCCAGCTCCGTCCCTGTAAATACGCTGAGTTGTAGTGTCACAACAAACAAAGTGAGGCAGACACTGGTACTGCAGGCCACCCATAGTGCCACAGCACCCAGGGGAGGGCACAGGTGCTGCATGAGGAGGTGCGGGCGTGGCCTTTCGCTCAGTCCTTCTGCAGTATGGGGACTACGGCCCACCAGGCGGAGACTGGTCCCAACAGCAGGGCTCTCCCTTCAGAGCAGAGCAGCTGGGAGCACGCCCTCCAACCCTCCACCATGTTCCTGTGAAAGCGGCCTCTCCACCATTCCCGTGGAGCCCACCAGCGTGACACTTGCCCTTCCATGACATTGCAAACTGGTTTCTGCACACGAGGTCTCATTCACGCTTCTGCTCTAAGACTCAGAGGGTGGGAGCCAGAAAGGAGAGAAGAAGCCATAACGTTCCTTTCTATTTTCCATCCCAAAGGATAAGCACAGGCGGGTTTGCTGCTCAGCAAATAGAAGACTGAAATCTGAAGAACATTCTGTCTGCTGAGCTTCTGTCACGCAGCCAATCAGTGCGCTCAGACCTCCCAGGCTCCCCACGGCCAGTCCAAGACGTCCGGGCTGGGAGCTGCTCCTGTTGCCCCGAGGACCGGGCCCTTAAAGTCACACACACCTCGGGAGGGCAGCTGGAATTGACGTTCCTCTCTGGGCCAGTGTCTGAGGAAGAATCATTAAAGTATTCTCTTTCTACCTTGTACCTCAGTTAGGTCCAGCTGCATAATTTGCAAGACTCTGTACAACAGGAAAACGCAGGTTGTCCTGCTCAAAACCTCTTAACAATTTCGAGACAGCCACAGAACACTCCACTAAGTCTGAGGCCTTTCCAGAAAGCGCAGGCCCCTGTGCAACACGACCCGCCACGTACCCAGCAGGCCGACCTTGACCCCAGCAGTGCCACGGTGACGTCATCCCCACAGACAAGCTGTTGTTTTTCAGACCTTTGTCAGGAATTCAGGTCTGCTCTGAAACAGACCAGTGAAGACACTGGGCTGAATTTATTCAAAAAACGCTCTAGGCACCTGTGTGATCCAATTCCTCAAACAAGCCCCCCTTGGGAAGAGGAAGGTACATTTTTGTTACATTTACCGCTGGCTGCCATTTAAGTTCCAGGAAGGTGTATGATTCTGATCTTGTCTCCAGATGCAGGTCTGAAAACCAGACACTGACAGCTGGGGCCGGCCAACGTCAGCCTGGACGGCGCAGGCAGAGGAGCCCCTGAGGCGCTGGTGGGGGCAGTGAGACCGCCTCCTTCCCCAGAGGTAAACCTGGACGTGCTCGGACCCCCTCTGCCAGGCAGCATTTGTGGGGGCCGTGTATTGCCCACAGCTGGGGAAGTCTCCTTTCTGCCCTCGAATTCATAGAACCTTCTCCACAATGAAATAATATTATATGAGATAGAAACAACCGTGAATTACATTTAGGAAATGACCTAGAATGTCCAAGTGAATATATCTATAATCTCATATGGACATTTACAATCACATCCTCAAATAATTACCTAATGATGTGGCAAAATGCATGTCGTATGTTGTGTGACATGCACCTTTAGTTCTGTATGATCATAATCTGCCAAAATATAATGTAGTTATATTAAAAAGTATATGTATTATTTTTAAAGATTATACTAATTAACATATTTTGTGTATACTTAATGATTTTTGGCATATCCAAAAATCCAAAGTGTTAATTTGATTTTCTTCTGTGTTCTGTGTTTTCACAAATTTCTCAAATGGACATTCAACCTCCTACTTTGCGCTTCCTCTACTGAAGGGAGAGCTCACGCGATGGAATAAACAGATGGTTACTGTGTTTACACTGAAGTTGACACCTCATGTCGGATAACCACAGGTTAGAAGAGCCCGTGGTGAGCAACAGAACGGGGCAAAAATGTGCAGGGCTGACGAGCCACCGCGGGGTCCGCAGGGGCCACCTCCCTGGGCTGCCTTCCTCCCTGTCGCCTTCCCAGGTCCAGTTCTAGTTCCCACCGATCTTAGCCACAAAACCAAGTCCTCGAGTCTTCATTCCTTCCAAAGAGAAGCTTCCCGCTAACATCCTAAGTAACCCCTTTGGCTCCATCTAAGAGGGGCTCTGAGTAAACAACCCCTTTTGTAGGACAGCAAGACAAGTGTTATATAACGAAGCGCCAAGGCATTAACGACAGTTTAATAATATGCTTTCCAGCCTTGCATCCAAATATTCCAGCACAGATATAAATAGCGGCTGAAGAACTGTAATTAAGACAATCATGCTATTTACAAGGGAGAGATTCAGCGGCAGCCCGGCCGGATTACTGGGAGTCTTGCCTGACCTTACACCACTCGGGGAGCATGAAACTCTCCTCGCAACCCTCCTTCAGAAGAATCACAGTCCTAGTTTAGCCCTAAGTCACCGGATGAAACTGTGGTATGTTTCCCAGAGACATTTCGGCCTCCAGCAGATGAAGGGAGAGCAGCCTTCACCTGAGGTCCAGGTGCAGGCCTCAAAGGGAGACCTGGGCTGGGGGGGCCCGACGGCACAGAGAAGCCGTGGCACCACGAAGAGGAGGCACCAAACCAGAAGGCAAAGATGGTTTGACTGCAGCGGCAGGTACACGGCGCAGGTAAGGCCCTCGTTTTGTCAGCTGTCTGTTATTTACACAGACTGAGAAACATTAAGTGTTTCTCAATATAGCTAAACACTCTGCAAACACAGACAAGTCCCTGTGTAACACATTAGATCCAATAGAGATTTCCTAAAAAATGGTTCAGGGATGACCTAGAAATAGCTTGTGAACTATTCTGAAAAAAAAAAAAAAAAAAAATATATATATATATATATATATATATATCAATGATGGATGGGAAAAGGGATCACGGTGATAACAAAAGCAGCATCCTGGGGCAGGAGCCAGTCATTTCTAAAAACCATTCTTTTTTCATGTTACCAGGGATGGTCAAACCTGTGGCCCAGGATGGTGACAAAGGTGGCCCACCACAAGATGAAAAACTTACTTAAAACATTATGAGATTTTTGTTGCTGTTTTTGTTAGTGTTTGTGGATTTAACGTGCGGCCCAAGACAACTCTCCTTCTTCCAGGGTTGTGCAGAAACGGTGAAAGGCCGGACACCCTGCGACAATGCCGGGCACCACAGACAGAGGGCAGTGTGACACCCCCTAGTCTACCAGCAGCAACCACTTGCAGGCCTCAAGTTAGAGACTGATGAGCCAAGAGGAAATATGTGGCGAATTACTCTAATATTATTATTTTAGTAACGAATGGGAGACACAGAAATAATAAAGGTCTTGCTATATTTCTTGTGCCTTGAATTACATCTTCTGTGTCTAGCTCCTTCATCTCTAAGGAATATAACATGCACACACACACACAACACTACAATATGCCATCTCATTTAAACTCAGGGTACAGTAGTGGGAGCTCTAAAAAGACCGTCACATTTTGGTTCCTCTCTTTGGATGTAAGGAAACACAATGATGCAACAAAAAGTAAGATTACGTCGTACTTTAAACCTTTTTAAAAAGATAATCACACCAGAGAATTCCTCCTATGCCAGTGCTGCTCACCCAACAGTCCCTGTGAACAAACATCAGTTTCGCTCTGTCCCTCACACCCTGCTCAGCCCCGCCCCCCACAGCATCTGCTCTTTGAAGCTGGAAAACACAGACAGCTCCCCTGTCTCCTTCCTGTGATCTGTGTTAAGGTTGGGGAAGGGGAGGCGAGGAAAAGCCTAAATGTGTCTTTGTTTGCGTTTGATTTTCCAGTTACAAAAGGAGAAAGAATAAAAGTAATGTTTTATTTTTTAAAAGATTTTATTTTATTTTTATTTTCAGAAAGGGGAAAGAAGGGAGAAAGAGAGGTAGAGAAACATCGATGTGTGGTTGCCTCTCGCACACCCCCTACTTGGGGACCTGACCCACAACCCAGGCATGTGCCCTGACTGGGAACTGAACCAGTGGCCCTTTGGTTCGCAGGCCGGCACTCAATCTACTGAGCCACACCAGCCAGGGCTTTTTCTTCTTCTTGTAAGAAAAAAGTATAAATATGTACATCAGGAAGTAATGGGTGACATTTGCCTGTTCGTTGCTTGCCTTTGTGCTAGTTCTTGAAATTTTTCTTAGAACAGCAAAACCCCCTCTCTGTAAAAGTTTTAGGGCTTCTGATCCTTATTTCTCATTTCCCTGAATGGACCCTGAAGACAAGTGAAAGAGGGCCACCCCATATAACCTATGCCCGGTGCCTCGGGCCTCTGCCCTTCCCAGAGAGCCCAATGAACAAACCACAACAACCACATACTTTCACAATTAGCAAGCCCCCTCACTCGGGAATTACCAACATGCACATTTCAAATTATCCCCAAAAAGGTCCTCAGGGAAACCCCTAGAAAAACTAATCTTTAACATTTAGATAGTTGCACTGGTCCAGTTCCTTGATGCAAACAGGAATGTTTCTAACATGACAGGGCCAAGTGGTGGGTTCAAGTTCCCACTTCCCCACTTGGGAGCTGTGTGACTTCAGGCAAGTCACTTAGCCTCTCTGAGCCAAAAGTTTAAGTCAGACATGGATGATTTATCTTCTCTGCCAGTTTCTCAGAGTTGTTGGGAAAATCAGATGACATCCTAGGTATGGAACTGCTATATAAACTGTGGAGTGTCTTGCCCTGCAAGGTATCTAGTATTTTTTTTAATGCCTAATTTTCAGAGCAAGAAGCTTTAGGTCGTACACTTCCACCTGCTTGTGCTACAGAGGCATGTCTCAGAATTAAATGAACGACTGCTTGCCAAGGTAAGTCAATGTCCAATACAGCCAAGATCACGAATATCTTCACTCAGTCTGAACTTAGATCAGAGATCTACATACGCCCCAAGAAGATCATTCATTTATCATTCACGCATTCATTCATCCATCCCTCCAGCAAACATTTGCATAGTGACTTCCCACACAGCTGGTGTCTGGCTGTGACAATGTTCTCTTGATCTTAAACCCGTGGTTTAGTGGAGAGTCACTAGCCTGGGAAATAACATATAAGCGATAACACTATGGTTCTGACAATTTTTAAAAATGACACCATCCTGAACCTTTCATTCTTCAACTATTATTAAAACAATTAAACCGTTATTTTCTGCCCCACGCTGCTATTTATTCACATTGGACTTTGAAAAGACTCTCAGCACCCTTCGTCTGAAACGTCTCTCCCCACTTGCGTCTGTTCCTGGGTGTACCACCCCTCCCCCCTTTCCTTTTCAGAACCTCGGATTCCTCCTGCGACTCCCCACCCTGCTCCCTGAATTATGGCTAATTACTCTTTATGGTTCTCTCTCGGAATCTCTCATTCCCTCTCTTTCCCCCACCTCCTTTCCTCCCTCTTCTTGATTTCTTTCAACCTCCTGTGTGAGGGGGTGCGTTTTTCATTTTCTCTTGGACTATCAAATTACTTCGTATGATGGAAATCATACTACCTGCTTATTAGAGCCCTTTCCAATCAGAAAGGCCTTACTGTGTCTGAGCGATGATGGCATCTTGAATTACAAACCCTGATAATTCCTAGTAATTACCCTTCATAGGCTGCACTCGCTCGGCTTCTCTTCTCAAGCCCCTGGGCGGCTGGCCTAGGTGAAAAGGATGCCCACAGAACACAGCTGCATCATTACAGCCTTCTCTGAAGGGTTCAGTACGACGGGCACCCGCAACAGGCCCGGCCTCCAGCTAACTGACTCACAACATTATTTCCCAGTCTTGGACAGCCTCCTTCCAATCCAAACAGGGCCCTTAGGATTACTGAAATGAGACAATACTAATATATGCTCCAGAAGGACACCAGGTTTGATGATCAAAGCGCTACTTTTCAACTCTACAGGTAGCACTGTTTTCTGAATAAATTCAAGATAATAAAAGTCACAAAAATAACAAGTGGTAAAATATCTCTGTAATGAATGGTCTGATTAATGCGAAGTCACTACACAGGTTCCAGAGTTGGCTGGTCATTCCCGCTCTACCCTTCGCTCTTCCCACCCTCTTAGAAAAGTGCCAAGAGAAGGAAACGACGTACAGACTAAGGACAGAGTTGGTCTGCTACCGGCTCAGTAGGAAACTGCAAAGGCCCTCGACCAGCTTCAGCTCCCTGGAGCTGTGCTACAGATGAAAAGGACGTAGGATGAGCCACGGTGCGCCAGCGTCACGCGGCTGTGACGCAGCCGTGACGCAGCCGTGACGCAGCCCAGGAAGCGATCTACTCCACACAGGGGAGGAAATGTGGCTGAAAGGCCTTTTCAAAATCCCCTTTGAAGCAGAGAATGGAAAGGCTTCTAACTCTGATTCACAATCAAGAAAACATTGACCAAAAAAGATATATTCTTCTACACAAAACCCCCCATTTCCTACAGGGCAAAAACACCGTAAGTCAACTAAAAAGACAAACAAAAAAGATGCAATTCAGGTATACACAGGTAAGAAAAAAAGCAGCCACCAGTAAAAAGTGGGCAAGGGACAATACCAGACAATTTATAGAAGAGGAAATAGAAATGGCCGGGAAACGAAAAATATCCAACATCACTTATAAGAGAAACGCAAATGGAAAACACACCGAGGTCCCATTTTCCCGTTATCAGTAAGGCAAGAACCTGAAGTCTGAAAGCGCACTCTCTTTAAGGAGACCGGGAAAACGCTGTGCTCGGACACTGCTGTGAGTGCGACTTGTTAAAATCCCAAGGGCGGGGGGTTTGGCATTACCTGTCCAAACTCCACGTGCATGTACGTACCCAATGGCCCTGCACTTCCACTGTGGGTATTTATTCTGAAGACACGTCTCACCCGGCAAAAGGGCCAGCCAAGGTTATTTATGGCAGCATGTTGTATACCTTATTTTTGGACCATAATACGCACCTAGGTTTTAGAGGAGGAAAACAGGGAAAAAATTTTGAAGCAAAAAATGTGGTAAAATATTAAGTAACATAAATGACATAACATTTTACCAATGTAAATGTAAACAGAACTCAACAGCGGCGTTAACAACCATTATCCCTCCCAAATTTGGGGAGGGGGAAAAAGTGCACCTTATAGTCCAAAACATATGGTAAATGTTTGAATACAACATAAATGTCTTGAATTTATGTCTCAAAATGTTGTTTGAATACAACAAAAGGAAGTGGTTAAATATACGGCATTGCCATATAATGGGATAACAGCAGCTATAACCTGGAAGAACAATGGCGACATGCAATGTCCCGAGAGAGGAAGACATACAGCTCTCTCTCGGAAGAGAGTTCGGTGCAGAGAGGCCTGCACAAAGCGATGGGGGGCTGGGATACAGCCACGTACTGGTGCTTGCTTGTATATGCAAAGGGCCTGGGGAAGACACACACAGAATGAACACGGTGGTTACCAAGAGCAGATAACAGGGCTGAGAAAGGTCCCACTGTCCACCTTTTAATATTATTGGATCTTGAACCATATACATAAGTATTATTATTCAAAACACTTCAGTTCTCAAGTGTCTTCATGACTATGTCAAAGGCTCTGTTTGCTGAGAAAATCAATCATTAGCTTCAAGAATTTAGGGGAGGCTTCAGGGGGAGCTGCTAAGGGTCATCTTTTGCAGTCCCTTCTCTCTGGCAGTTCCCCTTATGATGTGAACTGGGAACCTTCAAGACAGAAACAGCCTCACAACCCCACCTCCTGTGACCTTTTCTTAAAATGATGTTACTTACATACACACAGACATAAATCCGAATTTAAACTTCTTATGCGCAAAGCTCATTGACCACCAGAAAAACAGAATATATTTCCAAATTAAATTCATCAAAATTATGAAACCAATCAGTCTGAAAACACCCCATGACCTCGCTGTGAACGATGAGGTTGCTCCGTGGGTGACGCACTGGCACTGGGACCGGGACACCACACGGGTGGCCTGGGCCCCAGCTCACGCAGCACCTTCGGTCACGCGATGTGGCGACTCTCAGTTTCCCCTGGTCGCACTCAGAAAACCTCCTGTGTCGTGTTGTGGAACTAACTGACCTCCTCTGGCCAAATGCATCTCCTGTGCTTCCAGCCATGTCCGCCACCACGACCACAAGTGTGGGCGTCACCTGGAGCACTAACACTGGGTGCCAGCCACCTGGCGTTCACACTAGGAACCTGAGTGACTTGTATGAAGGTCACTTCATTTTTGTATTATTAATTACCCTCAGCAGTTACAGATCCTAGTGAACAACACACGACTCTAGTTAATCTATGAAGACTCTGCCCGGAACCCGATTCTTGAGTCTCAGAGGTGTCACACCCTTTGACCCCTGA